CACCAGCCTCGCCCACCCAGACGCCGCCAGCCCTGGATGTAGCCCCTGTCAAGGCAGCATCACTCTCAGAAGTCGCCCCAGTCGTGGCGCAGGAGCACACCTACACCCGCCCACACATGCAGCAGCAGCGACCGGGTACACACAGTGCAGAGGTTGTACAGTGCTCACGCTGTAATAAGGCGTGGCACACAGCCGCAAATTGCCGCAGCAGCCCAGCATGCCGCTACTGCCCCAAGCCGCACGATTTCAAGGAGTGCCCACTGGCCAAGATGGACCCTGACTTGAAAAAGCCTAACAGCAGCAGACGATGCTCAAACTGTGGAGGGCCTCATAGAGCCAGATACCTGGGCTGCACCTACCTTAAAAGGTGCAAACTGCAAGCTGCAATACCGAGAAGAGAGAGAAGAACAGAGAAGGTGATCCTAGTCGCAAACAACAACGCAGGAAGTGGCAGAACTCAAAATCGCAGTCCAGAAGCTGACAGCAGACAAAGAGAAGGCCACCGCTGAAAGACTCGAGATGCTGGGACTAATCTCCCAAACACTCGACGAAATCAAAGCCCAGAAACGAGACAGGATAGCAGAAGCTGCGCAACACACCAAGCTGCTAGCAGAAATCAATGAAGTAAACCAAAAACTCCAAGGCTTTCTGACACAGCTGAAGACAGATCAGGACCAGGCAGCAGCCTACGGGCAAGCCGAGCGAGAAGTAAGGAAAGACAGAGACGGCTTTATTAAACGAAGCCAGAGAGTCCACATACAGAGAAGTCGCCCTGCTAGTCAAAACAACAACAGCAAAAGCAGAAGCTGCAACCCGAGAAAGCAGGAAAGAGAACACCTACTCGCAGAAAGAAGCAAGGCACCAGCCGTAAAACCAAGCATCAGCAGGGCTGACAAAAGTACAGAAACAAATACCGATGAGGAAAACACAATCCAGTCAGATGGAGTAACCATATCCGAAGTGACAGAGGCGACCCCAGCCGCAGATGTGGCCACAACCCTCGAAGAAGGCAAAAAGGCGGCAGCCGGTAAGGTGGAAAGCGAGGCCGACCTACTAAAAATGCTACAAGGTATCAACGACCAGATACAACCGCACAGGATTGAGCTCGAGAGGAACCGCTATGTCATCATTTATGATCATGAGGAGCGGGAGAAATACGATTTTCTACCCGCCGAGGGAAACAAGCCTTCTACACAAAAATTACCGGACTCCATGACGAGATGGAAGCAGCCCAAAAACAGCTGGCCCAGTTAAGATGGAAACAAAGGAGTCAGGGTACGCCAAACCGACGTTACCGCAAGTTCTGATCAACCAGACAACACACCGTAACATGACAAAACCAGCAGCCAATCAAAAACTACCAAGCCGCCATGACACCCAGTTCCCGTGGAACAAGCCAGCTCACTGAGCCAGGAAGCACTGCCAACCATATAGATCAGCCAGGCATGACTGAACAACAACCAGTCACACTCCCACCCATACCCGATCGAAGCCGCCGCAGGCATATACTACTAGTCCTTTTCAGGACTAGTAACATCCACTCCCATTTAAAACCAACACAGCAAGGAACTCCAACTCAGGCGAAAATCATCGCCACAAAAGAAACAAACTTAAAATCAGACAGCAAATAACCCGTCCTTGATAAAACAGGCCGTCAGGCGGTTAAAAAAGGACAAAGCTTGTCATTTTTGTTTTCTTCTAACGCAACGCACGCACGCAACGCAAGCTACCTTTTTTTATTGTTGACGCCATACACACACTGAAGCGGTCTACAGTCCTGACCAGTTGAAAAGTGACGAGTTGTTGAAACCCTCGAGCGCTGGGTTAAAAGTTATTTCGATCTCTGCCTATAGCGGGACACCCATACTCTACTTCAGACCTCAAGTTTCCCACCAAAACAAAACTAATACTGAATTGCCTCGAATTTGAACAGTTCCTCGGCCTAAAGACAGAGCACCTGGCCAAGTTTGATCGACTGGGGACGCTGACAAGTCGTTGGTATCAGCCTACAAATACAACTATAGAACCGTATGCTGACATTGAAGAGAATATCCCCACCAACAACCCAGGCGAATATACAAAGGAATTTCTTATCCAACGCATTAAAAAGGACGAGAATAACCGATCTGTTACCTACCTAGATAAAACTGCTAGGAATCCTTAGCCATTAGTAAAGAGAAAATTCCTACGCCGACTTTGATTTCATAAATTAAAGTAAAAAGAAATATAAAACGAAACCATTGTTGTGTTACTATAGTTGTCTCCGTTTTAAAGTGTGAATAACTGTTATGTATTTATCCTTCTATCAATCTGTCCCTATTTTATAAAAGGATTAGTAGAAAGGAACAAAGAATACTTATACAGGGACAGTTAATATCTCATAACTAAGAAAGCAACTTACTAATAAGTCAAGATGACATGGATGATGATGATGATGGACCCCGAGCTCCTTTTTACATAGTTAACTATATAACATATATCCCTGGCCATAAATACTGTTATTTTTCTCATACTATATAACCCCTAAAACGGTCCCCATACTACCCGCCCCTACTCACCACCGCCTCTGATAACTATATCAGACTATTGTCTTGCCATCGGTCTGGTTGCCATGAGATACAAAGATAAGTGATATTGTGTATTTGTGTAGTATTGTATAATCTTTGTATGTGCCGAAGAAAGCTCCACAGCTGCAACGTTCACGTTTTGTTTGTGTTTATTATATTGTAAAGCTCACTGATATACTTTTCGTTCGGTTTTACATCTTTTCCTGATTTTATATCAGACTAGTCTCATATCCCTCTATTTTATCACTTTTACACATATAGCATATATACCCCCGCCATCAAACTAAGTACAGTGGAACCTCGCTTAACGAGCATAATTTGTTTCAGAATCATACTCGTAAAGCGAAACACTCCTTATGCGAAACAACTTTTCTCACATAAATCAATGTAAAATATGATAATGCGTTCCGAATCGAAAAAAATACTCACAAAATGTTATGTCGAACGTTTATTACAAGAAAATTATATACATATTGTTAAGGAGTGTGAATCATCTTCATCTTTTCTTCTGCCGCAGAACGAACCCACCTGGAATGCGAATTTAATTTGCAGAAAACAAACAAAAATCGAAATAATTATGATACATACTTTATTATTTTTTACTAGATAGATGTCCAGAGATATTTGTTTTTGCCGACGCTTCAAAATTTTGCGAAAATGCGACACGGCATTGTCATTAAATAAATTTGCAGGGCGCATAGCCACTTCCTTATTCGGGAGATGCTTCTTAATGTAAGATGCAACAGTTTTCCCTGCTTTCTGCATTTCTCTTATTTTGCCAGAAGATTGATGCTTTTCTGTTACTTCCACCTCTGACAAACTTTCCTCCAAAACTTCTTGGTGTTAAACACAATGCAACACCATAAGCTCTTCGGTGGTTAGCTCTTCGATATCACCGTTATCCACTTCTAATCCCATGATAGTAGCAAAAGACACAATCTCGTTGAATACAGGTTCCACGGGTACTGTCTCGAACCCCTCAAAGTCACATTCGAAAACACTGTCCGGCCAAAGCTTCTTCCAAGCAGAAGTTAGGGTTCTCTTGGTAACCCCTTCCCCGCCTTGTCGATCATCTTGAGGCAACGACGTGAATGTGATTTTTCCAAAACTCTCTGAGAGTGAGGTTGGTCCCTTCAGTCACCCGAAAACAATGATCGAAGAGTGCTTTAGTGTAGAGCTTCTTAAAGTTAGAAATAACTTGCTGTTCCATAGTCTGGAGTAACGGAGTGGTTTTGGGCGGCACAAACTGGATCTTGATGAACATATTCTTTAGTGAGGTCATCTTGTAGGCCTGGAGGATTCATGTACATATAACACAATATAACATAAGTTTGAGAAAATGTGTGATCACAAGCGACGCTGCGATGCTACTGGAACGAGTGCTAAACACAGACTGATGTAACATGTGAACAATCCGGGACTTTCCCTCTCCTCGCCACTCGTTATGCGAAACGCCGCTCGTTAAGCAAGTCATTCTTTCACAATTTGTCTTGCTCGTTATGAGAGTAGCTCGTTAAGAGGGGTTCTACTGCACTACCCCTATATTTCTTATACTTTATAACCAGCGAGACCCCTGCCTTATTCTACTATAGAACCACTAAAACACCCGTGGCCCTAACATCCTCACACACACAAGAGGAACATCCAAGGTGACCTCAAACAACCCACGACCTCTTATCTGACCCTTGACCTCAAGTCGCATGATTACGAGGTACCCAGACTTTAAAAAAAAGCCAAATTGAGCTGTTACACTTCCCAACAAATGCCAACTTGTTGGGAGGAGGATTATCAAACGTATCGGGCCGAGTACTAACCTGGTAGACCCTGCCGTGATATCTGTGGAGATATTTTAACACTTGTGATTGACAGAAATCTGTCAATTCTCGTTATCAGCAACGTGGCGTGGCTGGCTTTTTACCCCACCAGGACATCACACAAGCGATAAACACCCGATGACACAAAGTGCCACCATGCGGATGAGGATCACCGTGGAGAGGTCCCAGAAACCGCGTTCAGACATTTGGCCATAATGATGACCTGCCTATATTGCGGCCCCTGGCAAAAGCCAGAGTGGGGCTTCAAATAACAAAAAATAACGTCCTAAGGAGGACGTGAGTAATAGTAATATCAGCAACTCTGATACTGACTTCTTATTACAGCCAATGTCTCGACTTTGTTATCGACCTTGCTAACCCATGTAGCACACACCTAGCAATAGTTGTCTCCCCTGATCGTGTTCAGCACTGGTGGCAGATCATTGCCGTGTGGCTCTAGATTGAAATGGAAACTATAATATTTCTTTTTCTTTGCGAAAAGGAAAGAACATAATGGGATGTTACTGCTGTTTTGTAATATCGTTACCTGGTAGGTGTAACGGCCAAGTAGCATAAACAGTTAATATCGGAAGAGCATTCTTATTCTAAAACGACGTACCTCAAAATAAATAAACTGAAATCCTTTGATTCGTCTGTGTAACATTCTGATCTCTTTCAGGTACGGTTCCAGTGCATCTGGGTCTGACCCTTTCAGTTCCAAGATTCGGTTAATGGCGCTTGCGATTTCCCGGACATGCGCTCTGAGCCTGGCTTCAACTTTGGGCTCCTCGGTTAAGCTGATAATTCCCGCGTCAGCGAACAAAATTCTAGTCTTTGGGTGTTTATTGAACAGTCTGTAGGGTTGACAGTAAGACCACACATTAAACGGTCGATAATAACTGATTCTACTATTAGCACTAACAGAGAACTAGTTCTACTGTTAACGAAATTATTTACATACAATAACAGTTCCCCAGTAGTAATCTGGTAATCCTAGTTTCAGCATCATAGCAAACGGGTCACCCCATTGTTGCTCCGCTTCTGTGCCAACGAAAAACACTCGTATCTCACAGTGTCACACCATGCACTCAACTCAGAAGCTGGGTGACGAAACTATATCCTTCCAGTCTACAAATGGAGCAAAAATGCAACGGCCACCGCCTGGCAGAACTGCCACGGCTTTAAAAATAAAATAAAAAAGTGGTCGTGCCTAGTGTCCACTGTGACTTGAAGCATTATGTGAGGGGTTAACAAATGGTCACCCCAGCAGTACCCTCACTATTAGCTGGGAAAGGGACTTAGGACATTACATCCACCAGCAGGCGTCGCCCCTACAACGACCTGACTGCCTTCGTTAACGACTGTTCACCCAACAGCCATGCAGTTCCCCAGTAGTAGTGTATCATGTGGTGGTAAGGTGGTAAATCCCCATATGCAGATTCGGGTTTTGTCTTTTTGTCGTATTCCCGGTGGTTTACTGGAATTATGATAGCTGAGGCTTTTTGGCTCTCTTTTTAATTTCACGGTGGTTTACCTCTTTAAGGCCCAAACAACGGTGTGAGCGTAGTTTGAGAAGTTCCGTTCTGCCCAAACAACGGTGTTATCGTCACTTGCGTGTCTCTTACATTTTGCTTCGCACGCGCGTTCGTACTAGTTTCTAATGTTTGGAGGTACAAATAACCTATTCAGGGAAAGTCACTCTGTTGAAATCCTTTTATTTTCATTTCTTGGACTTAACCCCACGTGGATAATTTGAGAGGAAAAAAATCATCAAAATTTTTTTGACAGTTCATTTTCTAAGTTCGTTTTTGAGTGCACTGAATACCAATGTTCTAACCACAAGAACAGGTCGCAGAATGCGTCTTTCTGCGGCCGAAGCTCTGAAATTATTTCAGTCAGATGTTTTTAATTGTGATAATGATAATACAAATTTAGATTTTTCGGAAAGTGATTCGGACAGTTAATTTTCACCGGTGAAGCTGAGCGATCAGCTGTTCGGAATCTAGCGATTCTGACGAGTTTGTTACACAGACAATGTCCCTTAGTACCGTATCTATAGTGTAAGAGAAGGAAAGTGCTCTAATCAAAGAGATAGTACTATACTATGGCTAAGCTACATTGAAATCATCGCAGCTACAGTCTGTAAATAATTGTACAAAGTGAATAGTAAATGGTGTGATCAATGCCTATTTAACAGTGATAGTAAACAGCTGCAAGACCACATAAACCTACTACACGACAGTTGCCTCAAGCATCATATGAAGATCAATACTGAAAAGACAGAAGTCATAAGCATAGAGCAACAGACCATCGACATAAAGATTCTAGATCACAGCCTAAAACAAGTGCAAGAATTTAAATACTTGGGAAGTATCTTTACATTCAATGGTAAAATAGACAGAGAGATCGAAGCAAGAATTCAACAAGCCAACAATGCCGCATACCAGCTTGCCCCAATTTTAAAACACCCTGCTGTCCCAGCTGAGATAAAAAGACAAATTATAAATACAATCTTTATACCGACATTAGGTTATCAATGTCAGACTTGGACATTAACAAAAGAACACGAGAGAAGACTAACCACCTGTGAAATGAGATGTTTGAGAATGGCTGCGAATAAAACCAGAAGAGATCGAGTGAGAAACGATGTGATTACAAGAACTATTGGAACCATACCCATCGTTAAATTTATTGAGAAGCAAAGAATGAAATGGTTTGGTCACCTAATGAGAATGGAACCAACGATGCCAGCATCAAGAGCATACAACATGAAAATCGAAACACCAAGAGGCAGGGGAAGACCAAGAAGAAGATGGATTGAAGGAGTCACGGACAACTTGAGACTTCATAACATCACGGCATATGAAGCGACTGAGCGCGCCCTGGCTCGGTTGCCGATCATCTGATAGACTGCGACGCCTAGCGGCACAAGCAGATTTTGACAAAAGAAGTGTGTGTTATGGCTCATTTTCTGCCATTTTTTCTCTGAAATTTTGCTTAGCACTCGGTGGGAACTAAGAGCGCCTGAGTGATAAACTAACCCAGAAAGCTGTCATAACTTTAGAATATGTTAGAAAATTGAACAAACTTTGAAGTTTTGTTCTCAAATTTTGATATTTACTATTCTTGTGGCTGCAAAACCATGGTAAGTGAAGAATTTTTGTGTGAAATGTTGTCCTTGTGAAATTAACACCTGCTGAATTCTTCTTTTCCACTAACAATAACAAAATCAAACAAATACTTATCATCAGATTCAGAATGTACACTCATTTCTCTTTTAGAAAATATATACTGTTTTAGGGATTAGAAGTATATTACAATCTCTTCAGCCTTTCTTGTACACCTACCCCTCTGCCATTTTTGTAAAGGGAAATTAATGTGGACCAAGTCTGTCAAAATTCATGGGCCTGAAAGAGGTTAGTGGCTTCATGATGACTCTGGTTTTTTTGCTGTTTGTTTCACTTACGGTAGTTTGCTGGCTTTATGGTGCCTCGAGTTTTTTTGTTCTTCGTTTCATTTACGGTAGTTTGCTGGCTTTATGGTGGCTCGAGTTTTTTGTTCTTCGTTTCATTTACGATATTTTGCTGGCTTTACCGTGGCTCGAGTTTTTTGTTCTTCGTTTCATTTACGGTAGTTTGCTGGCTTTATGGTGCCTCGAGTTTTTTGTTCCTCGTTTCATTTACGGTAGTTCGCTGGCTTTATGGTGCCTCGAGTTTTTTGTTCTTCGTTTCATTTACGGTAGTTTGCTGGCTTTATGGTGCCTCGAGTTTTTTGTTCCTCGTTTCATTTACGGTAGTTCGCTGGCTTTATGGTGCCTCGAGTTTTTTGTTCTTCGTTTCATTTACGGTAGTTTGCTGGCTTTATGGTGCCTCGAGTTTTTCGTTCTTCGTTTCATTTACGGTAGTTTGCTGGCTTTATGGTGCCTCGAGTTTTTTTTCTTCGTTTCATTTACGGTAGTTTGCTGGCTTTATGGTGCCTCGAGTTTTTTGTTCCTCGTTTCATGTACGGTAGTTTGCTGGCTTTATGGTGCCTCGAGTTTTTTGTTCTTCGTTTCATTTACGGTAGTTTGCTGGCTTTATGGTGCCTCGAGTTTTTTGTTCTTGCCACTAGGTAGTTAGTCACCTGGGAAGAACAGTTAGTCAGCTGGGAAGAACAGTTAGTCAGCTGGGAAGAACAGTTAGTCAGCTGGGAAGAACAGTTAGTCAGCTGGGAAGAACAGTTAGTCAGCTGGGAAGAACAGTTAGTCAGCTGGGAAGAACAGTTAGTCAGCTGGGAAGAACAGTTAGTCAGCTGGGAAGAACAGTTAGTCAGCTGGGAAGAACAGTTAGTCACCTGGGAAGAACAGTTAGTCAGCTGGGAAGAACAGTTAGTCACCTGGGAAGAACAGTTAGTCACCTGGGAAGAACAGTTAGTCAGCTGGGAAGAACAGCGAATGTAGATGACAAGAAGAGTCTTTAGGATGTTTGCTGTGTAGATGATTGCCCCGACACCGAAACATACAGTTGGCCAAATGCCCGCTTGTTAGTGAGTTACAAGTGAAACATAGAGTTGGCCAAATGCCCGCTTGTTAGTGAGTTACAAGTGAAACATACAGTTGGCCAAATGCCCGCTTGTTAGTGAGTTACAAGTGAAACATACAGTTGGCCAAATGCCTGCTTGTTAGTGAGTTACAAGTGAAACATACAGTTGGCCAAATGCCCGCTTGTTAGTGAGTTACAAGTGAAACATACAGTTGGCCAAATGCCCGCTTGTTAGTGAGTTACAAGTGAAACATATAGTTGGCCAAATGCCTGCTTGTTAGTGAGTTACAAGTGAAACATACAGTTGGCCAAATGCCCGCTTGTTAGTGAGTTACAAGTGAAACATACAGTTTTCAAGATGGCCTATGATCATCAATGGATAAGCTACCTAACTGTCTGACTTGACAAATACAAGCTATCAAAATAGAGGTATGAAAAAAAAGTTGTCACTTTTCAAATAAATAGTTGGGCGCTGGCCAGAGAGTGTGTTGAGAATAAATATGGTTTCTGGTCTGTTAAAGACACGTCAGTTACAATAAAGGCCTGACTGACTGACTGACTTTCTACCCCACCAGGGCATCACACAAGCGATAAACACCAGATGACACAAAGTGCCACCATGTGGATGAGGATCACCGTGGAGAGGTTCTAGAAACCGCGTTCAGACTTTAGGCCATATTTTCTCAAAGAGTTAAATTGATAAACTAGAGCGCATACAGAACGCAGCTATGCGGGTCATTCTCGGTTGTACCAGAGACAGTGGTGTGTATGCGATACATCCTTGGGTTGCCGACGGTTGCAGGTAGGCACAAGGGGCTGCAGGCGAAGTCATATCTCAGAGTAGCTGCAGATACAGACCACCATTTGCGCGAAGCTATGGGCGCAGTTAAGGGTCATCGTCTGATGCTGAGTGATGTCATGTATGGCTCAGGCAGAAGACACAACCAGACAGGTTTGCATCCTGGAGAACATTAGGCGAGTAGAGAAGGGGTTAAGGTGCCAGATGAACTGTCAGACTTGTGTAGAGTCATAATCACACTGAGCCGGGAGTGCAGGGAGTGGACAGCAGGTACCACAGAGGTGCAAATTCCACAAATAATTCAAGATAATGCTCGCTCAGAGGATGTGATTATTGACGCAGACGGTTCAGTGTCAAGAGGCAAAGGAAGTGTTGGGACTTCTTAGCAAAAGTCAATGGTCGACGTTTGGTCCAGGAGAGGCTAGCATATGATACCACAACATCCAGCTTAAGAATGGAGGTGGGGACGATCACTGCAGCTTTCCGCTGGCTAGAAAACACGACACATACACATATCGTGATTGTAACTGACTCAGAAAGCAGGCTGAGGAAGGTCAGGAAGGGCAGGCTTCACTGTGTAGGACACGGGTGAGGAGTATTGTCTGGATCTTTTCTCCGGGACACGTCGGTGTGTTGGGAAATGACCAGACGGACAGACTGGCTGGCTCTGTACAACTTGGTGGAATACTGATGCATGATAAGGCAGATGTGGTTAGGGCCGTGTGTCAGAGTGTATAATTCAGAGGAGCAAATGGATCACCACAGTCTGGTGAGACTGATGCAGCGGGGAGTGACGAGGGATTCAGGCCGATACTCGATGTTCAGAGGAAAGGCAAGACACGTTTAATCATAACGCTACTGGCACCATTAGTATTGGAACTCTGCGATGGCTGCTGAAGATGGGGACGGAGCGCTTATGGGAATACAGCGAGTGCTGTGATGTCGGTTCTAGAATCAACTCAACTCAACTTTATATTTACAACTTTTGAACTTTTTAAAATTGTCGTTTTAACTTTTAAATAGTACATACATATATTTAATCAACATCTATGCCGACTTTAAACACAATATCTAAACCAATTAGACTTTTTAATTTACTTTAATCTATCCAAGATAGCTTTATAAACATAATAAAACAATAGCAGCACACTTAGTATGTAACACAGGTAATGTACTGACTGTAAAACTATTAGCAGCTGTAACCCTTTCTCCTATGCTCCAGACGAAACTTTTATTGAGGAGTTATAATACAGGAAGAACTGAACCCGCTCCTAACATCTAGATAGGGCGCATGCTATTAAAAGCCACGCGAAACATATTTTACCTGTGCTTTGATAATTGCATTGCCAGATATTATTTCAATATCCCAGAGATATATATTTAAATTGCATAACGATATTGCCGAATTGTTATTGCTAATTGCCTACAGCGGTAAAAGATCTCTAGCCGAGCAACCGGCTTTCACCATCATTAGGTAATCCCTAAAGACAATACAATTCAATAAATTATCCGTGCGTCCCTGCAGGCAAATTTGGATTAACCAAAGATAAACAGAAAATATATCCCGCTGTGAGGAGGAATGCAAAATTGATTAAAAGTTATTGTTAACTGAGCAATTTTTACATCTGACGGAAAACTAGACAGAGAAATTAGCTCCAGATGTGCCAAATCTAATCAAGTAATGAGTCAACTATCTCCCCTGTTGACACACAAGCAGATACCTCAGAGTACTAAAGTGAATCTTATCAGAACTATTTTATGGCCAACACTATGCAACACTATCGGAAACGATGGAGTGATGGCATTAAGAACAGCCTTACAGAAATGAACATCAGTCTTAATAGTGCTCTTGACAGAGCCTATCAACGAACATTACATCTCCCCCGACACTTCGATGAGATACAAGGTGGAAGAGAAGAAGAAGAAGAAAGAAGTTAACTGATCATTGATAACGTGCCATATTTTCCAGACGGAAACCAATGATAACATCTCATTTAGCTCCTAAAATTACACTGAAAACATACGGAGTTACCTGGATACATGTAAACAGACTTCCCCAAAGACGTATGAGTTGTTAGTTACAAACTAGACACTTGCAAGAAACAGTTGGTAGGACACTGTTATAGAGTTGTGCTGGGCACTGTTACTCACGCCAGACTGTGGCTTGAGTAGACTGACGATAGTCAAGTCGAAGAAAGAGATTTAATTACAAGTAAGACGAACGATAGTATATGGCAAACTAAGACGAAAACTGAATAACTATGGAAGGACAGAGGGCTAAACAAAATGGACCAAACGTCACCAACGCCACCATGTAGCCATGCTTGAAGAGAGCCTTATTATGAAATGACCACTTGATGATTTTCTTATATGTCTAATTCAACTTTAGCGGAGAACTTATTTTTATCTATAAAGCGTATTGTATAGAGGTAGTATACACAGTTGTCAAGCAACAGCATGCTGGGCGTTCAGAATTCATTTTTTGATCGCGAGTGTTATTGTTGAAGCCGCATTACTAAGAGGACACGTACCGTGAGTTGTTGTTAATGTATTTTATTGAAGTAATGCGGACAATGTGAGTTGCTCGGTACGTACAGAGTGAATCAATGGACGGATGGTTGTATGAATGTGTGGTTGTCTGAGTAGATTTCTGGATTTATGGATTTTTCATCTATGCCATGCTGGGAGATTAGGGATACAGAGCTCAAGAAGGATAAGCCGAAAGATTCTAGACACAAAGAGATGACGAACGAAAGACTAATGTACCTTTCAAAAGTGGACGCCAGGATATCCATTTCAAGGCCTTGACTGCGGATGATATTGGACACAGTAAACACATTGGCCCAGTCCTCGGCGTTCAAAACCGCTGCACCGAAATCGCTGATCTCCCATGCTGACGATCGCCTCCGCGACGCAAACTTGAGATGGCTTTCTGCTGTCAAAGAACTGCTCAAACATCCCATTGTTGACACCTCTGATAAACACTACCAGCTGCTCGGCATAGAAAAGGCTATCGTCAGGGAACAACTACCTCTAGAAATATGAATCATGGCAAAATATGTTAAGGCGTTGTTCATCCATCACGGGTGATGAAGACAACTTTCCATCCAAAGTAGCAATGATCAATGATTATGAATACGAAGCTGGCTGATTAGTCCATTATGAGTCCAGAAAGTTTTCTGAGCAATATATATATATATATATATATATATATATATATATATATATATATATATATATATATATATATATGCGTGAAGTATTGTGTGTGTGTGTGTACATATATAGTGGTGTATAGATGCCATACACTGTGGACCTCATTCGTGTTAGGAAGTTCGTGCACTGAGCTGAAAACTGCGTTGTTTGCACTAAAGAGAGAAATCAGAAAACATGTATCCCAGACACGAGGCTCTTGAAGAGGCCTCTATGTATCAATCGATCAATGAAGCAATCGGTTGATTTACCAGTATTAATCGACTAGTACCTAAACATGGGAGGGGTCTGGGGTGTCAGATACTAGTAGTACCTCTGGCAAGGTGACCGTCATGTCCTTCTTAGGGCAGCTCACCACTACTAGGCTAGGTCTGGCACTCAGCTCTTTTCTGTGGCTCCCAGTAGCTGTCAGCATGCGACAGCAGCCACCCCCCGGGCAGCAGCTTTGACGGGCTGGCTAAACCAGGAGAGAGTAGCCGACCTGGTTGTAAACCACGGTGTGATTGTGATATGCCTACCCTTCATGCAAAGACTAGACTCGGCGGATTGTGCCGATGAAACCTCTTTTGGTTCAGCGGACAAAAAAGCAATTACCAGCAGGCTGTGTGGAGAGCTTCGGGCAAGGCAGGGCACTAAAGACGCTTTGGTCATCCACTGCACCTAGGTTCATTTCCAATCGTATCGACATTGCCCTACTATTGGATCAAGATGGAAACAGGCGAGAGAGTGATGGCGACGAAGTGAGCAATTCTCCCTCACTTAAATCCAAGTCCTTGCGCAAGTCACTTTCATCCAGTTATCATCCAATTCAATCTTTTTCCTCCACCTGTTGTCCGCACTGCTCAGAAAACTTTCTGATATATATATATATATATATATATATATATATATATATATATATATATATATATATATATATATATATATATATATATATATATGTGTGTGTGTGTGTGTGTGTGTGTGTAGGAATAAAACTGTTAATTTTCCGAGTTTGTTAACTATGGACTCAAAAACTACTGAACCGATTGCTTTCAAAATTTTACACACCGTTGCCTTTGACTCAAAACATGTTTTTATGTCATAAAATTGCACAAACCACGAACGACGTAGCTCCAGCAACGGTCAAATCGTTATTTGTTTCGTTGCCGGCGCGGATTTGTTTTTAGTTCACTGGCCATTTTTTACTGCTGAGCAGGGCTGCCAATGACGCTTTGGGTTCACATTTTGCAGCGTTGTTTACTTTGTTGTTTTAGTGTATCCCCCCCCCCCTTTTTTTTTCCACACATTATATACTTATATAACAGTGGGTAAATTGTTCCTGTCGGTACTATAGATTTTATACTATTTTTCAATCTTGACTTTTTGTTTTCATTTTTTTTTTTTTTTTTGCTTATGTTTTGCTTGGGTTTTTTGATCACCTTAGCTTGGGTTTTGCAGCCCCGAGTATACTTTGTTTTTTCTCATTGAGGTTTGTATTTCGTTTAAAAACAAAATCGATTATGCATTTAAATTGGCGGCGGAGTTGAACTGTCTTGATTGATCTACGTTCGTTATGCCCACGACCAGTTCCTGAATGAGTATTGGGACATGTAATGACCGGAACCTGAGACATTATTTCTTATTGAAATTTGCGTTATTATATAATTTCATTTCCACCAAGTACTTGAGTCTTTGGTAGCGTAGTTGTGAAAATTCTGCCTATCAATGGATGACCCGCTTCCGATTCCCCGCTAGGTGATATAATTTTTTGGGGCCCCTAACTGGGCCATTGGCACGTTGTGTTGTGGTTTACAGCTAGGCTGCGATATCTGACCTAAACTCTTAAGCTTTCGGTAGTATAGTTGTAAGTATGCCACCCTTCACGCGGGTGACCGGTTTTGATTACCCGCTGGGTGATAATCGTTCTTTTTCCCTTAAAAGGGTGGTTGCCACGTTGTGTTGTGGTTTACAGCTAGGCTGCGATATCTGCGCCTTTCGCCCAAAGACATCCGATTTCAGTAAGTCCTAATTAGCCTCCCCGCGACGCTTCACTCGATCAAAAACTATTTGGCGATGACAGAAACTTTTAACTAAGACCAGTTTAGTTTAGGTGGACACGCATGCCAAGGTCAGTTACAAATAGTCCTTTCGGAGAGGGAGAGATGAGGGGTGCGGGGTGTTTTTCACCACTATTTGTGAGTATAGTGTACTTTTGTTTTCATCACGGACTATTACTGTGGGTTCCATCACTGGTTAGGTGATGCAGTTTTTTTTTTCTCCATGGTGGGAGCAAAATTAAACTAAACAATCCGTGGCGACATCATGCGGCGCTAACTTCTCTGGTTACATCGACCTACACAGACATTAGTGACAGTTGTTGTTGTTGTTGTTGTGAAGGTGGTGGTGGTAGTGGTAGCAGTAGTACTGCTACTGAATAGATGATGTGGTAGCTGTTACAGTGGCCACATATACTTCTTAGAACAAACTAATGCTACCCATTTTAGTCTGGGTGGACACGGATGCCAGGCTCAATTTAGTTACAATATTTTGTCAGGTGATGACTTTCCCATCCTTCGGAGAGGATGATATGATTTGTTCTATTTTAATAATTTCGCCAGGGATAATTTTTCAATCCTTCGGAGAGGGAGATATGACTGGGTCGGGGTGGGGGGGGGGGGGGGGGGTAATGACAGACACTGTTAGCTGAGAGCGATTTTCTTTCTTTTCCATTTAACCATTCTGGGCCACAGCCACGCGTGGCCGAATACAGCTAGTTGATATATATATATATATACACAAATATAAAATCAAGTTATAAACGCCAGTCCAAGGCGCATGTTAGATACTTTCGTTATGTGAGCAGTCAGCAGTCCACATTCCTACGATGACGTTTCCCTGCTACTGCATTAGAAGAAACTCGGATTTCACTGTAGATCCACTTCTCAGGTACAAGAAGATATGAACTTCAGGCCTTAAACTTCAATGGCGAGAACCCTTGCCTGTTGCCCGTAAGCTAATGTGCTGAAAGCCCCTCAGTGAAGAGATTCCGCCCACCTGCCAACCTGTCAACCTGCCAACCTGCCAATCTTACCGGGGAGTCCCCGTGGTGCAGTGGCTAGACTCTAGACCCTAGGTCGACCCAGCCTTGAGTGCAGTCCTAGGAAGTAAAGATGACCGGCGTGGTTCAGACATCACCCACAAAGTGCTGATTGGCCTATAAAATAAAGGTCTAGCCCTATATGCCCATACGCCCTAAAGGCGTGGAAAAGTGTCCCTTTTTTTAACCCAACTTGACCCAGTCCAAAATACGTGTCAAGGAAATTCCTGGCAAGTTTACAACCACGTAACATGTCGACTACTGACAGGTCTGTAAAAATGGGAAGCTGAAAGTTATCGGGTAAAATATTAGAATACACCCCCCCCCCCCCCCACACACGCATATTCACTCACAAAAACACACATTCGCACGCACCCCTCTCTCTCCCTGTCTCTCTCACTTATGCACATACACACACACGCATAATCACTCACAAAAACACACATTCGCACGCACACCCTCTCTTTCTCTCTCTCTCTCTCTCTCTCTCTCTCTCTCTCTTACACACACACACTTATGCACACACACACAGACACTCGCGAGAGCGCACGCACGCACCCACTTACACACACACACACACACACACACACACACACACACACAGAGAAATATCAAAAGTGCTAAACAACGTAGGTACCCCCGCATGCCTCTAACACGCCTTCTCAACAGGCCAAGTGTAACTAGATATATGCCTTTGTTACTGACATGCGCACAATACAGAGGCAAAGAGTTACCTACCAATAGGTTATCTGCCTCGATGGTTTTTTGAAATAACTTACTGTCGATTCACAAACACCCACACTGATGTGCTGACATTCAAGTCAATTCCAAGTCATGTCTGTAGGACAGGCGAGTTTGTGGTAGAACAATCCACCTGATCAGTCACAAGATTCATTGCTCTTTTGTTGCACCCTCCGATCACTTGGTGCGGCATGGTGTCTCCCATAGCTGACCACTCACTGGGTAAATCCAGCGGCTGTGCTAGGTCATGATGGCGTGCAGCTTATTTGGCGGACATTGTTGTTCTTGTAAACGTTTCTGGACGTTCGAGTAGATGTGTATGACGGGAATTTTCCAAAGGATTTTCAGATGACAGCGTAGGGTCAAAGGTAAGTCAAGTGAGTAGAATGCGAGAAGGAAATGTGTATGACGTGTTTTAACTAATTTGTGAAAGGGTGACAGTCACTGGAAATGAGAGAGAGAGAGAGAGAGAGAGAGAGAGAGAGAGAGAGAGAGAGAGAGAGAGATAGAGAGATAGAGAGTCTGAAGGTGAAGGAGGGATCGAATAAGTTTGTGTTTGGCAGGCAGAGTGACTGGTCGAGTGCGAGAGGCCAGTGACTGGTCGAGTGCGAGAGGCGAGTGACTGGTCGAGTGCGAGAGGCGAGTAACTGGTCGAGTGCGAGAGGCCAGTGACTGGTCGAGTGCGAGAGGCCAGTGACTGGTCGAGTGCGAGAGGCGAGTGACTGGTCGAGTGCGAGAGGACAGTGACTGCTATGAAGTGTAACTGACGACTGGTAAAGAAGTTCTGATTCCTCAAGGTGATTGCCTGAGCAGAATTTATGCAAGCTAACTACAGCCTGACTGTGAAGATTGTTAGCAGAATGTCGAAGATGCAAACTCGTTGCCTGTGCTTCGCATGAATGATCCACCCAGAATGCAAGGTAGCGATGG